GAGGGAGAAAACTGTGAAGGGTCTTGGGGAAAGAGAGGAGAGAAGTCGCCCGCCACTCCCGACTTGCTTCTCCCTTGGCTCCGGGTCCCAGCCGCCGCGGAGCCCTGCGCACAAACCCGGCGGGCGCGGCGCGCGCACGGACCGGACCCCCAGCCTCATGCCGCTCCCCGACGGGGCGCGCAGCCCGGGGGGCGTTGACGTCAACTGGGCGCGGGGCAAGGGCTACACCAACCGGACCTTCGAGTTTGACGACGGCGGCTGCGCCCCCAGGTACGCTCGGCGGCGCCCCTCGCCGCAGGGAGACCCCTTACGGTCTACCCCTATCCCCCAGGGCCATTTGCCCCAGAACCGCGCGTACCCCAGGAACCGCACTCCCTGCCCCCAGGACCTTCCGCCCCAAACACCAGACGCCCCCCCCAGAACGCCCTGCCCCCCAGGGCACTGCCCGCTCCGGGCGCCAAGCGCTCCCCCGGCCGCTGAAGGGGCACGGGGAGCACTCCATGTGGACGGGGCCGGAGCAGTAGGTCCCCAGCCGCGGGGGCAGGCGCAGCCGGTCGGCGTCCTGAGGCAGAGGTGGCACCCGCGAGGCCATTTCTAGATGCTGGGCGCCGAGCGTCTCCCGGACGCCCGGGTAGGTGCGGTCGCGGCCAGGGGCGGCGGCGAGGTGCACAGGCTGGGGACGGAGGTGGCAGCGCAAAGCCAAGGTGGGGCGCAGGGTGCCGGTCCTGCCACAGAGGCACGTTTCCAGGCAGCCCTCCCCAGACAAGCTGTGGCTTCCGCGCGGGGAGACCCGGGTGGGGTGACCCCAGAAGGTCAGAGTGGGTGAAGACCCCCTCAGGGCAGGTGGACTGGGAGACGGAACTGCCGCGGGGCTCGGTTTCCGGTATGAAGCCTGAGGGTTGGGAGCGAGGTCTTTGAGGGCCGTTTCTGGTGAGGGGTTAGGGAGTGGGGCTTCTAACGCCTCCATGGTGGGGGGGTGGCTCTGGGGGCCCCTCCCACGGTGGCCAGGCATCCATGGGGGGTACAGCAGGCTGGGGAACTGGACCTTGAGCCCACATGTCACTCAGCAGTGCCAGGGGGAAACTGAGACAACCCCTTCCACCAGGGCTGCCTGGAGGGGTCCCCCAGATGATGGGGTCCAGCGCCGAGGACCCCACCAGAGCACTGCTCCTGTTGTTGGGGGCTCCGCCCACCTCTACCTTCTCTGCTGCCCCTCAGCGTCAGTCTTGCCCTCTTGGTTGCCTCCTCCAGGCGGAGGGGAGCTTTAGTCCAAGGCTGGTGGCTTGTGTGTCCCACCCTCAGTCTTAGCCCACCTGTCTTCTATCCTCCCCCAGCTGCTCCAAGGTGGCCATTCAGACATCACTGTCACACTGGAGGCCCTGGTGGTCTTCTAGATGTCTGGAGCCACTGCCCAGATCAGAGGACAGGTCAGACTGGGGGAAGACCTCCCAGGGGTCATGGTGGGTGAGGAACCCCACAGGGAGGGTCATGATGGGTGAGAATCCCCCACAGGGAAGGTCTTGGTGAGCGAGGACCTCCCAGGGCAGGTCAGGGTGGGTGACGACCACCCCAGGGAAGTCAGGGGGTGAGGACACCCCACAGAAGTAAGGGTGGGTGAGGACCCCCCCCCAGGGAAGGTCAGGGTGGGTAGTGACCTCCCAGGGAAGTCGGGGTGGGTAAGGACCCACCAGGGAAGGTCAGGGAGGGTGATAACCTCCCAGGGAAGTCAGGGTGGGTGAGGACCCACCAGGGAAGTTCACGGTGAGTGAAGAACCCCTAGGGAAGGTCAGGGTGGGTAAGGATATCCCACAGAAGTCAGGGTGGGTGAGAACTCTCCCTCCAGGAAAGGTCAGGGTGGGTGATGACCTCCCAGGGAAGTTAGGGTGGGTGAGGATCCCCCAGGGAAGGTCAGGGTGGGTGAAGACTCCCAGGGAAGGTCATAGTGGGTGAGGACACCCCACGGAAGTCAGGGTGGGTGAGGACACCCCACAGAAGTCAGGGTGGTTGAAAATCTCCAGCTGCCTTCAGCCTGGGAGTCAGTACCCAGTGTGAAGGAGGGGAGGACCTCGCCCTTGAAGAAGGTGGCGTTTGCCTGGGAAGAACCAGGTGCTGTAGGAGCCCCTCCCAGCCCAGCAGGAGCCCAGACAAGCTGGGGGTGGTCCCGAGGCCCCACAGTCACTGCGCGCAGGGATAGGGTGGGGACAAGGATCCCACAGACTCGGGCCAGCCAGCAGCCCCCAGCCCTGCTCTAGGAAACAGGGTGGGTGGGGTGGCTTTCTGGATCACAGGTGGGTGATGCGTGAGGCAGGACCTCCCAGGAGGAGGAACAGCTGATGGGGGCCCCTTTCTGCGCACCTCGGCCCTGTGGTGGAGGACCTGTCTGTGGGGGGCCTGGGGGTGTGGCGCCTTTTTGAGTGGGCCAGGCTGAGGGCCACGTGAGG